GGGGGGGGGGGGTTTCTGCAGTCCCCAACTCCCCCTGGGGTCTGGCTCCCTGCCTGGCGAGGGGCGGCTGCGGGTTTCATTTCTGCTCCCCCCAGGGAGGCTGGGGGAGGAGGATGGAGAAGCGAAATTTCAGCAGGGGATGTGGGATGGGGAGGGGGCCGGGGGTGGGGGGTTTGGTGGCCACCGTCCCCACCAGGAAGAATCATAGAATTGCCCAGACCAGAAGGGACCTCCAAAGGCCATCTAGTCCGACCCCCCCGCAGTCAGCAGGGACACCCCCAACTAGACCAGGTTGCCCAGGGCCTCGTCGAGCCTCTCCTTGAATATCTCCAGGGATGGGGCCTCAACCACCTCCCTGGGCAACCTGTTCCAGTGCTCCACCACCCTCACAGTGAAGAACCCTCTCCTCATCTCCAGTCTAAATCTGTTCCCCTCCAGCTTGAAGCCATTGCCCCTCGTCCTGTCACTGCAGGCCTTTCTAAACAGGCTCTCCCCAGCCTTCCTGTAGGCCCCTTCAGGTACTGGAAGGCCGCTATTAGGTCTCCCCGGAGCCTCCTCTTCTCCAGGCTGAACAACCCCAGCTCCCTCAGCCTGTCCTCGTAGCAGAGGTGCTCCATCCCCCCTGATCATCCCCATGGCCCTCCTCTGGACCTGCTCCATCAGGTCCATGTCCTTCTTATATTGAGGGCTCCAGCCCTGCACACAATACTCCAGGTGAGGTCTCACCAGAGCAGAGTAAAGTGGCAGAATCACCTCTCTGGACCTGCTGGCAACGCATCTTTTGATGCAGCCCAGGATGCATCAGAGACCTTGCCCAGGATGCAAGAGACCACCATGTCCAAGTAACGCTTTAATGGGATCAGCCTCGAGGGCTGAGCTTGCTCGGGGAGGGAAAGCAGGTTCTATCAACGTCAGTCCAAGTTAAAACATAAACCCAAAGGGATGAAGGGGGGGGTTGTCTCCCACCTGCGGCTCCACACGCGGCAGCACCGGGGGGACCGGGCACTGTGCCCACCTGGATGCTCCGGGATGCAGGACCCCATCCCCACGGCTCAGGAGTGCTCTGGCAGGAAGCTGCTGAGAGTCAGGTTGTCCCCGTCAGCCTCGGAGCCGCCATCCAGCAGCAGCTTCTGCCGCCGGAGGGGGATGGGCTTGGGGCCGTTGGCCACCGTCTCGCCGTCGGGCAGCAGGGAGGAGATGCAGACCATCTCGGTGGGGGCGAGGCGGTGGTGAGCCATCCGCCCCCGCCGCCACAGCAGGGTGCCCAGCACCCCCGTGCACACCATGAAGGTGGCGGCCACCAGCGCCAGCAGCAGGATGGCCAGCAGGCACTTGCCCATCATCCTGCTGGGGTCCCACGGGACAGGAACCGCCGTCCCCCAGGGCTTCATGTCCCAAGCGGTCGAATGAGTCGCTGTTGGGGGGTCTCTGCCTTTCTTGTAACCCGTGGTGGTGGGGCCGAGGGCAGAGGAGGTGCTGTCTGTGCCACCGGCCACCGTCTCCTCCTCACTGGGCGACGTGAGCCAGCTGGGGATGGTGGTGATGCTCTTCTGGGGTGCTGCCTCGGTGCTGGGTGCTGGTGGTGGCACAGAGCCCTGCAGGAGGTCGGGGTCGGGGGAATCGGTCTCATCCAGGGGGTCGGCTGTGGTTGGCACTGGGAATGCCCGGAGCAGGCTGGCGTTGATGCTGGGTGCTGCCAGTGATGAGGAGCTCAGTGGCAGGTCAGGGACATCAGTCTCATCCAGGGGACGGGCTGTGGTTGCCACCACCAGTGCCCCATGCAGGCTGGCGTTGGTGCCGGGTGTCGGTGGTGGCACTGAGTCCAGCAGAGGATCAGGCTCAGGGGAATCGGTCTCATCCAGGGGGTCGGCTGTGGTTGGCACTGGGAATGCCCGGAGCAGGCTGGCGTTGATGCTGGGTGCTGCCAGTGATGAGGAGCTCAGTGGCAGGTCAGGGACATCAGTCTCATCCAGGGGACGGGCTGTGGTTGCCACCACCAGTGCCCCATGCAGGCTGGCGTTGGTGCCGGGTGTCGGTGGTGGCACTGAGTCCAGCAGAGGATCAGGCTCAGGGGAATCGGTCTCATCCAGGGGGTCGGCTGTGGTCGGCACTGGGAATGCCTGGAGCAGACTGGTGTTGGTGCCAGGTGCTGGTGGTGGCACCGAGCCCAGCAGAAGGTCGGGCTCGGGGGAATCGGTCTCATCCAGGGGGTCGGCCATGGTTGTCACCACGAATGCCCGCAGCAGGCTGGCGTTGGTGCCAGGTGCTGGTGGTGGCACCGAGCCCAGCAGCGGGTCAGACTCTGGGGAATCGGTCTCCTTGCTGCCGGGCACCACGGTGGCAGCGTGGCCGTGCCCCAGCGTGGGGGTGCCGGTGCTCGACCCGCCATCGTCCCTCTTCCTGCGGGACAGTGGCGGGGGCTCAGCCTGCGCCGGCCTGGCCACCCCCCAGACCCACTGCCCGCCCTGCTGCTGCTGCTGCTGCTGCCCCAGCGCCGGCAGCGACACCGTCCCGCACACCCGCAGGGTGCTCAGCACCAGTATCACCAGTACGGCCCAGCCCAGAGCCATGGGACCTGCAGGGGGAGGGGAAAAGAGGGGGGAGATGAAATTGGGGTCCCCCGCGGGAGGATGCTGAGCTCTGTCCTTCCGGCTGGAAACGGCCCCAAAGAAGGACACAACATCCTCCATCCTCCTCCCCTCCCAGAGAGGGGCCCTGTGTTTTTTGGGGGGGTTAAAGGGCTGGAGGATGCAAACCCCAACCTCCTCCAGCCGCGGCCCCCACCTGCGGGACCCCAAATCCCAGCCCGAGGAGAAAGTTTTGAAAAGGAAGTTGATTTTCTGGAAACGGGAAACGAGCCGCGGCAGAGAGACGGCTGCTGCGGGACGGGCAGTTGCGGGATGACTCCCCCCGGGCAGAAATGAAACCACGGGGGTGTCACACACACTCCATTGACCCCCCAACCACGGGGTGCCCGTCCTCCCCCCCCACCGGCCAGGCTGGCGTTGGGGGTCCCAGCCCGAGGCCACCATGTGCTTGTGCATCTGGGCCAGAGCAGGAGAAGAGGCAAAACGAGCAGAAGAGGCAAAACCACCCCAAACTCACCCCAAATCCCTCCCCCTCATTACACCAACAGCCCCTCCGAGCCCCCACGGGTGGAGACCAGCCAGGTCCCCCCCGGTACCCAGCATCCGGACACCAATCTACACTCCCCCAGCGCCGAGCATCCCCAGGAGGCTCCCACCATCCCCAAAGCCTCCACCCACCACCTAAAAATCCCCAGGGACCAGCACCGCACGGAGGGTGGCAACCAACACGTGTCCCCAGGGGCACCCCGAGCATCTTCTTTGCACCCACAGCATCCCTGGAGATGAGTCCCCATCCTGCACCCCACCACCACCAGGACTCACCTCTGCCGGGGGACGCCGGGTGACCCCGAGCTGCAGCAGCGTCAGGCATCGGTGGGAAGGGTCCAGGGCAGCCCCGGGGCCAGGAAACTGCCAAATCCCAGGGTGTCGGGGGCCGCCCTCCTCCTGCGCCGGGAAGGGGAGGGAAGGCGGGCGCGGAAGAGCGGCTGCGGTTTCGGGGAGCACGGCGGGGGAAGGACGTCACGCCAGGAGAGGGGCCACCAAGAGCCAGGGGGGGCTACGTGGACCCACCCTGTGAGGGTGGTCGGGATGTGGGGTGCACCCCACAAAGGGGTCTCCAGCTTCTCCCCGCTGCGCTGGGTGGCCTGGTGGGAGCCCCCCAGTTTGGCCAGCTCAGCCCCACCGAGCTCGTGCCACCCCGAAAGCAGAAGTGACGGCAAACACGGTGCCAGGGCTGCCAGCCCCCCCTCCCCGGCACCATGTGGGCACAGAAAAGATGGGGGGGGCAGGTCACAGCGCCCCAGGAGGGGACACGGAGGTACCCCAACAGCAGGAAACAGCCTTCGCACGCAAGGAGGAGGTGGAGGGTGAGGCCTGGCTCAACGCATTTGCACAGCCTTCGTGCTGGGGCCCTTCTCTCGGCATTGCCAGCCCCAGGATGGCATCCTGTGGCCGAGAAGCTCTTGTGGGGGGGTTTGGGGGGGCCACCAGGCTTGGTCCCAGCTGGGAAATAACCCACCCTCACCGTGAGTACCGGGGTGGGGAGGTGCAGCAGCAGGAAGGATGCTGCAAGAGCGCATCCGCCCCAAACGCCCTGCGGCTGCTGCTCGGGGACGTAAACAACCCCACCGCCTCCGCCGGCACCACAAACAGCCCTGTGCCGGGGGCCGGATACACCCCACCCCCCCTAGAAACCTCCCGGAGATGGGGGCTGCAAGAGGGTCCCAGTTCCTGTCGCCCCCAGATCACTGGTGGGACCATGCGCACAGAAAATGGGGTTTGGGGCTGGAGGAGTGGTTACGGCGGGGGATCATAGAATCATGGATGGGTTGGGTTGGAAGGGACCTTGAAGATCATCCAGTGCCACCTCCTGCCCTGGGCAGGGACACCTCCCACCAGCCCAGGTTGCTCCAAGCCCCCTCCAACCTGGCCTTGAACCCTTCCAGGGATGGGGCAGCCACAGCTTCTCTGGGCAACCTGGGCCAGGGTCTCACCACCCTCACAGCAGAAAGTTCTTCCCCACATCTCAGCTCAATCATCTCCCCTCTTTCAGTTTAAAACCGTTACCCCTCATCTTATGGCTCCCCTCCCTGATCCAGAGTCCCTCCCCATCTCTCCTGGAGCCCCTTTAGGGACTGGAAGGGGCTCTAAGGTCTCCCCGGAGCCTTCTCTTCTCCAGCCTGAACCCCCCCAACTCTCTCAGCCTGTCCTGAGCACCCCCTGGGAGGGGTCCATGGGTGGTCGGGTCAGGGACCATCATCTCTCCAAGAGCATCCCTCCTCCCATTCCCAGGCACAGCCAGAGCCCTGGGGAGATCATGCTGGGGGTGGGCTCTACCCTGGCTGGGGACAAGCAATGCCATTTCCAGCCTTTCTTTGCCACCACAGGGTTTCCTGCACCCTCGAAGCAGATTTCAGCTCAGGAAGAGCAGAACGAGCCCCCCCAACTCCAGAGCAGCCCCCAGCCAGCACCGTTCCTCCTGGAGACCACACCACCCCCATCTCTGTTACCCTGAGACATCCTCCCCCAGCAAAGCCATGTCGTCATGTCCCACATCCAGCCAAGCCCTTGGGTTCACTCACAAGGAAACCACCAGTGAGTCCACGTGTGACCCTGGGGATGGGGACAGAGCAGATGGGAATAGTGGGGGGGTCACAGAGGACAGACCCCCCTCAGTCACAGCACCACACACTCAGTTTTCTGTCCCTCACCCCTGATTAAGGGTCACGCCATCAATTTAATGACCTGCTGATCGATAAAACCTTGAAGCACAAGGCGCCACCGGGCGCAGGACGCGAGAGAGGCAAAGAAAAAAAGCAAACCAGAGGAAGTTTATAACCAATGACTTTTATCTTTTGAAAATGGAAGCAAATATTTTGGACAGATACTATGGCCGCTCTATAAGAGCGCATCTTTCAGGACTTCGCTGGTTCTCTTCTGGGATATCACGGCTACAAAAAGCTTCAGGCACTGACTCCGGTTGAGCCTGGCTAGGCATCAGTTCATTTAAATAAAATACAGGCTATAAACTAAAAACTCCTCGGACCATCTACCACACACCGACCTCCTCTGGGCATTTCAATCCAGCGTCTCAGAAAAACCTTATATCCCCTCCAATTAGAAAAAAAAAAACAACAAAAAAACCACCAAAAAAAACCCAACCCAAAAGGTCCCCAAGCGCACAAGCCTGAAGTCACACGTTACAAATGGACACAGAGATCATCGTCTGGGGAGAGCGTTACATTTGGGTTTGTTTTCTGATTTAAAAAAAAAAAAAAATTAAAATAAAAATACACATCATCTCAGCCATTTACTGCGACAAAAAAAAACGTCACCAAACATTCAAATAACCCGGAGCGTCCGGACCGTGAATCTGGGATCACGGTCACGGGGCAGGGGATGCTCGTCCCTCCTGCTGTGCTCTCCTCACTTAAAACATAAGGAAAAAAATCCCACTTTTATGAAGCTTTCATGCTGGGCAATTGTAACACATCCACTGTCTCTTCGCCTCCCCTCCTCGTGCCCCTCCAGCGACGTGGCCTGGCCGTCCCCTTCCACCCGCACCCACCCAGACATCCCTCCAGAACAGAGAACCCTTCATCTGGAAAGTTCTGAACATGCAAAACACCGGGAAAAAGGGTGGATTTGAGGATGGCTAGCTAACCTAATGGAAAAAAATAAAAATAAAATAATTACAAAAAAAAAATCACTTCAGCCTGGACAAAGGGACGGACCCCCCTCACTCCACCGAGGGGCAGCCACCTGGGGTGCCCTGGGTGGGGGGACGCTGCTGTGGTGTGGTGGGTCCCAAGCACACACACGTGCACGCACACGGGGATGCAGGGAGATGGGATCCATCCCAGCTGGGATGGGGAAGGAGGCTCCTCAGCCCAGAGCCCTCGGGCACCCCAAGGTCTTTGCCCACCTGTGGATCCATCACGGGCTGCCGATGACAGGCGGGGTGGCACGGAGCCCCCCTCGATGTAGGGGACACCCCACCTGAGCAGAGGCATCTAAGAAACCCCACGAGGAGCTCGTGAGGAGCCTGGTGCCCTCACGGGGTCTCTCCCCCGAGGGTCTCAAAGGACTGTGTAAGAAACCCAGTTCTCCAAATTGGGGTGAAAACCAGCCTCCCCAGTCCCTTCCACTCCAAAGGCCTGGGAGTGCAGGGGGTCTGGGGATGGAGGGGACTCATCTGATCTAGGAACAAGTTGTTTCTACAAAGTTTTAGGGCACGGTGGAGTGGTGAGGCAGGAATGACAGGGAGGAAAAAGAAATTATATATAAAATATTAACATTTTGTTACTGGAGACCCATCACAATCAAGTCACCCAGGTCCTGCTAACGCTGCTTCAGAAGCAGAGAAAGAATTTCTAACATCAGAACTATGGTGAGAAGCCAGGGAACTGCAAGCTGGCAGATTTTTAAAAGCTTCTTAAAGCCAAGGAGCCCAAGAGGGTGGTGGTGCAGAAACAAGTATTTACAGCAACGCAGACAGCTGAAAGAGACACCACTGTGACCCGGTGACTGCGAGTGTCCCACTGCTCACCTGAAACTCTGGACTCCACAGGTAAAGGTAAAAAACATTTCCTGCATGAAAGTAATCTCTGCCTCAAAATAATTAAAAAAAAAAAACTGCGAGTGTCCCACTGCTCACCTGAAACTCTGGACTCCACGGGTAAAGG